ATCCGAATTAAAGTATGTTTAAATTTATCTAATCCGAATCAATTGACAACCTTGAGGCAAAGGGATGGCAACATAAAGAAAATGACTTAACATTGAAGTGATGTCAATAGCTCGTTCCCCACCTCGTAGGGGATTTTTGGATGGGTGAAGCGAGATAGGTGCAAAGATTAAAATCACCTTTAACGCTCTGATTCCTTATTTGTTTTATTTTCAACTACTTTTTAACTTTAAATCTATAAAACAAAATAAGAAATAATAATAATAATAAAGGCAAGTTCAGGGAATGGCAAGGAATTCTTGCCAATTCTAGGTGGGACAACACGGAGAGGGTGGTGATGGGATATTTTGTCATCCTACAGAGTGTCTCTTGCCTAATTTAGCTCTTCTTTGGTGTCTATTATTTTAAAATCATTTTTAATTACGCATTCATACAATTAAATATTTTGCAAGTGAATTTAAATTTTTTCTTACTTTTCAACCACATATTCTGTAATACCCAGACTAAGAAAGTTTAAAAGATTTGATAGATACTACTCATACAAACAAGATGCACCTTTTTTTCCGGAAGTCCATCATTAGAAACTCTACAATTATATGTACTTAGTTTAGAGTAATTCTATGATGGATGACCACCTAAGAAGTTTTCTTGAGAAGCGTGCGAGTGATGATAAAGCATGTTGAAAAGACTCACGTTGGTACAGTGGGGACAGTACGTCGTTAATCTAACGGCCGGGATAGCCCGTTAAGTAGAACCTGGATCGTTACATATTCTCCTAAAAATATTATTCAAAACTTTTTTTTTCTTTTTGAAATAATGGGCATCAAACATGGGCTAAACACCTATTTAACAAATAAATAAAATTTGTCATTAGCAAAGAAGTTTGACTTTCTTATAGGCTTAAAGAGGGGATAAATCATGCCTAATTAAATTACATGATCACTTGTACTGTATTTTTTTTTTTTTTTGCACCAAGTTATATAGAGGAAAAATTATTTTACACGCCCAATTCAATCAGAATATTAACTTCGTCAGTGGAGGACATTTTCTTCTCAGAACCGGTAGAACTGGATTGGAACAGGATAGAACTAGTAGGTTCGGCCACGATTCATTTATTAAATGGATCTATTTTGGAACTATGCATTTAGAATCGATCGGTTCCGGTCCGATTATTGATACTACCTTAAGAATCAATACTGAATTCAATTCTCCCTAATTTCTCTTGTTGTTGGTATATTGCATAAATATGCACTAGTATTTGAACAGTAGACCTTAAAATTATCTAACGCCAAAATTGCACTTTTCATAAACTTCTTTTTCTTTCTTTTACGGTAAAACTTAATGGGTAATCAACATTTAAATATAAATACCTTACAAAAATTCATAGATTTTATGCAACCCCAATAGGAAAAAGTGTATTTTTAGTTCAATTTTCGTAAAAACTCAATATCTCATTGTTTTCAAAGTGATCGATCATTAGAATCAAGATTTTTTCCTTGAAGATTATTGGAGATATTCTGGTTATAAATACTACATACATGTTTTAATATAATGTTATATGAATTTTCTTAAAAATTAATTTTTGATCCAGATTTTTTAGTTTATATCGTGTTTAATAATTTATCATTTTTATGTCCTTATTTATTGATATTGAGTCTTGGGAGTGTATTTTTGTTTGTTGTCTTATTTAGTGCCTGTTTGTCAACCATTATTGAGATGAAAATGGTGTAATGAATAGTATTTTTTGAAAAATGTGTGATTGAAATTGAAAGAAACTTTATCGGTTTATGTGTAGAAAATTTTATTATTTGAATGTGTGGTAGAGATTGATTACAATAAAAACAATTTTTTGAAAAATGGTAGACAAACAGTGGCTTAATTAATTTATATATTATTAGATTACAAGAATGATGAATGATTTTAACTCTATGTTATCTACTTTTAATCTGACAAGTAATTTAAAATTTGTTTTTATAAAATTTTTAATATAAAGAACAATGGTTTGTCTCAATTAGATATAGAACCAACGGTTCCATTTTTAAGATTCTTATTGGTACTCAATACAGTTCCTTCAGAACCGGACCGCACCCACTTCTAGTGATGTTTATTGGCCGTGAAAATAGCATCTCAAATTTTGGCCATTTACATTTTTTTAGTGCAACTTTTCAGCAATGTAAACATTGGCAAGGGATCGACATTTTTACTAGTAAATATCGTAACCAAACAATACATATTGGATTATTTTTTTTCAAGTCCTATGCAACATCTCATCTTCAAACCCTGAATCCAAACACCTACCAACGAAAATTTGGCAAACTCTATTGATGATCTCGTTAAGGGAAAAATCTCACATCGAAGAGATATATGAATAGACCAACATATAAAAGTTTGGACTACTCCTTTTAATATGGTTAACCGTTTAAGATGAAACATCAAATCTTAATATGGTATTAGTGTCCATGAAACTCCAACAAGCAATTCAATCCGATTAATACTCAAGAAATAAGTATATGAATTTCAAAATTGGTTTACTCAAATGAGTCACTATCTTGCGAGGCATTTTAAGGAATAAATTTTATATCGAATAAAGATGAAAATATAAATTAACATATAAGGGTTTAGACTACTACTCTTAATAAGTTTAACCATTTAAGATTGAAGCACAAGTCTTAATAGATCTAGTGACATTTTGTTGTAGAAAGCTTGCTTAAACGCGCAGCTATACAACAACATATGTACGTAGAAACAAGAGACATGTTTTCTCTTACAGGCTACAAAGAAAACCATGTTACGTTATGTGCATTATACACTAAAGTATTCAAAAATATGTTTCAATTTGTCTATTAATGTTATTGTACTGCGTGTGCACCACCATATATAGATGAGTCAAAATCACGAAATTTTGGTGATATTTTCTAATGAATGGAGAGTTTTGCATTAAATTTGTTTGCGATGCCACTCACCTTAGAGTACATACTTTGACAAGAATCATAAAAGACTTAAAGAGTGTGATAGACTTCAGACTG